CACATCGCGCAGATGCACTCCCTTGGAACGTGCACAAAAATGAGGCACGGGCAAGGTAAGCAGGGGAGCAGCACGACGAGGGACGGAGAGAAGGGGGATGTCAAGGGAGGGGAGGGAAAAGAGCCGGGAGATGCGGAGAAGAGAGGACAGGAGGCGGTGGTCAAGGGGAAGGATGCGAGCGCGGCCACTGAGCGACCAGCAAATCGCACGAGCCGACGACCGAGCTTAGTCGGCAGCCGGCTGGCTGCGAAGAGGGGACTCACGCCGCCGCACGTGACCACGTGACGAACTCATACTGCAATGCGACCGCCGCACAAGACAAACGAATGCTGCAATACGAACGACACGACCTGCTAAGTACAGTCGGACTTGATTGAAGAGGACACGCAAGAGGACACGAGACCTTTCCGGAGGCCACATCACCTTAGGAGTGTAAGAAGGCACGTGTCGCGAGGCACAGGACAGAAGGGTACCCTTGAGCTGGCAGGGTCGACCTATTAATCCAGGCCGACTGCAATTCCATCGACACCAGTGGGAGACTAGGGTGCGTGAACGCGTCGCCGCACATGACAAACTCATGTTGCCGTGCGAATGATACGACCCGCAAAAAACAACGTTGAATGCATCGACGGAGATGATCACCCTGTGGATGGTCATCTTGCGGGGAGCGTGCGTGAGCGTGTCGCCGCAAAATGCAAACTCATGCTGCAGTGCGAGCGGCACAGCCTACAAACAAAACGGTTGAATCAATCGACGTCGATGATCACCGCGTGGGTGGTCATCCGGCGAGCATCGCGCGTGGGCCTGAACTGATGACGCAGCCAGGGGCGCGAGCCGGCGATGTGGAGCCGGGGGGGCTCGGAAGCAGGGCGAGGGGGGGAGGGGCGACTCGAAAGCAAGGGCACAGAGGGATGGCACGAGCATGAGAGAGAGGGAATGATCGGGCGGGTGGCAGTGACATGGGGGGGAAGGAAAAGCAGGTAGGAGCCAAAAAGGGGCTCTAAAGGGCGGCGGGCCCTTTACTTCACTCCCCATTTAGGTCACCCCCATTACCACCCGCCTGAAATGAGAGAGAGAGGGAGAGAGAGAGAGAGAGAGAGAGGGAATGAGAGAGAGGGAGTGAAAGAGAGAAGGGAATGAGAGAGAGGGAACGAGACAGAAAGAGGGGATGACAGAGATTGATAGCACGAACAGGAGAGAGAAAGAGAGGGAATCAGACAGAGAGAGAGAGGGAGGGAGAGACAAAGAGGCGCTCGCTCCCCCCTTCATCCAGGCCTCCGAATGTGATCTGGCGGTCGCCAGGGCTGGTCCCTCCCTGGCTGGGCCCTCCTCCTGCTCCTCCCTCGGCGCCGACGACGTCGTCGACGGCGACGACGACGGCGACGACGACGACGACGGCGCTGGCGACGACGACGACGACGACGACGACGACGACGGGCGAGAGCCCCAGAGCGCCGGCGCCGCCGACGTCGCCGACGAGGGCGTGCGCACAAAGCCCTGGTGCAGCCCACTGGTGGGCCCTGGCGCGGTGCACGTGCTCCTCCTCCTACCCCTCCCACCCCTCCCCATCCTCCTCCTCTTCCTCCTCCTCCTCCTCCTCCTCCTCCTCCTCCTCCTCCGTCCTTCTCGGCCTGGCCTCAGGTCGGGCATGTCCTCCTGCAGGCAGATTTTGGAAGACTAGCGAACGATGGTCAAAACATGCCCTAAAACAGTAGGAAGATCGTCCCCAGACAATTGTTTGACTATTTTTCCATGTTCCTCCTGCAGAGGGCATGCCCGACTTGAGGCTGGCCAGGTGCTGCGAGGAAGGGGCGGGGTTGGCCCGGGCAGGCCGAGCGCAAGGGGACGGCTGACCTCCGTCGCGGGCCGGTCCCGCCCACCGCCAGGGCTCCAGCCAAGCGGTGCCTTCCGATGCCCTTTTTTGTTTCGTGCTCCCTCGCGGCGTCTTCCTTCCCCCCTCTGCTGCAAAAGGAGCCCAAAACGAAAACGGCCCACGACGCCGCCGAAACGCCGCTTAGCTCGAGCCCTGCCCACCGCCCTGCCCCCCCCGCCTCGACGCTCGAAGACTCGAGGAGGTCTCCGGCGGGACGCCTCCGGCTCCTCCCCTGTCTCTCCCCCGAGCGCGGCGCGAACTCCCCTCATTCCCTCTCTCGTCTTCCCCTGCTTCGAGGGCGGCGACGTCGGCCATCTTGCCCCAGGGCTGCCCCAGGAGGGGCCGCACCGCCCGCGCCGGCGTCCCCCGTCCTTTCCAGCTCCTCGGATCAATTGCCTGACGACTGGCGTGCAGCCACCTTTCCCCACGACCCCAGGTCGTGTTGCGCCTAGCCCATGCAGTCCTCCTCCTCCTCCCTCTGGTCCCACCAGCCCTCTGGGCGTGAGCGGCCTGACGAGCCGAGTTCGTTCTGCTGACCCCCTTCTTCCCCTTCGAGGAGGGGGATCCCCCAAGATCGCTTCAGGTAGCCCAATGTGGCTCAAGCCAGCTTCCAACATGCCTCCAAGAGCCTTCAAACTGCACCAAGATGGCTTCGAGTGCCCTCCGAGCCTCCCAAGGAAGGCGCCCTGGAAGCCAACATCCCTCCAAAACCTGAGGAATATCATCGAGTGTTTCGCTTTCGTTAGATCGCGGGCTCTTGAGGCCCCTAGATCGTTCCAAGTTGACCCAATGGGGGCCCCGAGAGGGCGCCATGCAGGCAGGGCCCAAGAGGGGCCCAAGATGGCCCCAGCAGCGCCCAAGACAGCAGCGCCCAAGAGCGCACCAAAAGGGCCCCAGGAGGCTATCGTGAGGGCTTTGACGGGGGGGGGCGTGCGTGCGTAGGACCCCCTTGTGTCCGATTGCTCCCCAAAATCTCCCAAGAGAGGCCCAAGAGACCCCCAAGAGAGTCCAAAGAGGGGCCGAGGAACCACCCAAGAGCGTTCGAAGAGCGCGGCAAAGGCTTCCAAGGCGGCCACAAGACGACACCAAGACGGCCGCATGCTGCTACACGTCCCTGATCGGGGCAACTCGTCCGTGGACTGTTTTGGGACGGGCGGGTGGGGATGCGCGCGTCAAGACTTCCCTCGGGCCTGCGGGGTCTTTGGAGGTCCCCAGTGCGGAGGGTTTCTAAAAAGGGGTTGCATCGGGAGGGGAGGGGACAAAGGTCCCCATGGGCTTCGTATGCCCACGACGGCGACTTTGCGGCCGCGAGCAGTGTCGCGCAGTGACGTTCCAGGACGCCTGCCTGTCCCCCTAATTATCCTCTTCCTCTTGAGCTGGGCGGAGGGGTCTGGAGAACCGTGGGGGGTGGAGGCGATGCTGAAAGATTGCCGTTATACCTCGCACCGCTCTCCCAGCAGCTTCCACACCCTTACTGGACGGTGGTAGACACGCGTGTTCGAAAAACATCCTGCCCCTCCCCGTCCTCACTGTCCTCCCGTCTCCTCGACGTCCTCTTCTTCCTAGTAATCCTACTCCTCGCCGTCCCTCTCCATCTCCTTTTCCTCTCCTTCCTCGTATCCTCACTCCCCCGATCGATCAAACATTGCTCGATTGCTCCAACCTTGGGTCGTCAGGAAACATCCAGAAACAATAATGAGGTGGGGCGGGAGAAGGACAAGTGGGGAGGTGCCCCAAGGGGGCTCTGAGGACGAGGCGGGATTTGGTGTATATTTCCACTCGCGAGTCGACGTCCCAAAACTGTCATGGCAAATCGTTGCGATAGATTGTTTGCATGGGTTCGGTGGACCTGCGAGAACCGATCTCGATGACTATGATGCGTGCGATGGACACTATGCGCGAGCATGGCTTGCCCAATTTCACAGGCGGTGGCGATACGCAGTACGCCTCTCTGCTTCTTGTGTTTGCCCTATGGACCCACATTGAAACAGCCATCCCCTACAATCCCCTTCGGAATCCTCTGGCCAATGGTTGCGGAAGAGACGCGCCCCAGGGGTCCCCGGAAGTCCCCGAATTGAGGTCCCTGGTCCAAATAGGGCCGCCGAAGACAACGCCTAACAAACCTCCTCCACTTTGAATAGGAGGGAGATGAGGGTGAGGAGAGGCTGGGGGATGAGGTTCCTGGCGGGGATGGTGGCCTTCCCAGTGGCCGACGTCAGGGAGAGGCAGCGTCAGCAGCAGTGAAGAGGCATTGTGAACAGACGACGTGAAGATGGGTGAGAGGAGTAGCGATACCGGCCTCTGGCTAGGTGCGAGACTCGTGCCGCGCCAAGGCCAAGTCGGCACGAAAACGTTTCAGGATGAGATGCCAGAACAGCAAGCGTAACAGCAAACGGCCAGATATAAGAGCACCAAGGAGTGCATCCAGCTCGACAGCCCTTGCGCATGACGTGCTGGCTTGATCAAACCAACGGCACGGAGCCATACTGTAAAGGCAACGGCGGATGTCGCCCAAGGCACTCGATGCCGTGCATCGAGGGCCACGGCATATTGTATCAAGCTTCACCGCGCCCACCGAGATCGTGCCCTGCGCAGCCAAATTCTGCTCGAGGCCCTCATTCTCATGACAAGGGCCCAGTACCGGGCTGCCGAAAGCCCACCGGCCCTCCGGGCGTGGGTGGTGGAACGCACTGCGTCTTCTCTCTGCCAAAACCCCTCCTTTCCCTGCTCGGGGGAGGGGTTTCCCCCTCCCCCCCATCCCCTCCCCTGGGCCCGCTGCGGGGCCTCGCCAGCCCTGCCGCCGCAGCGGCAACAGCACACACAGACCTGTCTGCTACGAGCGCTCCATTTGCCCGCAGACCACAAGGTCTGGTGACGGCTGGCTGCGGAAGCGTGGGGCGTGTCGCCGCACATGTCAGACTCATGCTGCAGGGCGCACGAGACGGCCCGCGAAAAAACGAAGATGTCCTCGGCTGGCTGCGGAAGCGTGGGGCGTGTCGCCGCACATGTCAGACTCATGCTGCAGGGCGCACGAGACGGCCCGCGAAAAAACGAAGATGTCCTCGGCTGGCTGCGAAGACGTGGGGCGTGTCGCCGCACATGTCAGACTCATGCTGCAGGGCGCACG